GGAGGGAGGGAGGAATGGGAAAGGAAAAGGAAAATACTCACCAGCTGCTTTTCTGGGTCCTATGTCTCCTTTAAATTGTCCAGTCCTTAATTTCCCTTTAAGAACCTCACAGAGGGAAACGGTCTATGTGTATGGTTCCCTTCTTCAGTGGAGTTTGAAGGGTAGGAGAAGCCCTAAAGTAGGATTCCAGATATGTTTGAATAAGAAATAAGCAAAGCAAATGCAATTATATATTTTGATTTAAAAATGTGCATCTGGACAACTAAATTACAGGTTTCAATTTAATGCAAGTGTAAGAGTGACACCAGCTGTCTCTTAATTGGAGCTTTACAATAATAAATGCACGCTTTTATTTAATTTTACAAGGACAATTTTAATTGATAACATGCACATATGCAGGAATATACGGGCAAGCTTATAGCAGTGCATGCATGGGCTGCTTTCCTGCAATGCACTGCTTCACTCCCATACAGATTTTTAGATGCTTAGCAGAAAGTGCAAAAACATCACATATTTAAGCAGTAGTTAGGTTGAGGAGTGGAGTGAATCCTCAGGCTAATTATATTTTTATTTCTGCCAGACTGATCCAAATAGAATTCTCTAGCTAATTTTAGGCAGGAAGTCAATCTCTTTTTGTTAAATATGACATAATAGAAGCAGGGTCATAATGACTAGAAGGAGAATACTGGCACAAACTGCCCTTTAAATAATTAAGAAAAAACAAACAAACATGGTGTTCCACAAGCATCGTGAAAGTTTTTAAGACAATGTACAGGACAGTGTCTGATATTTTTGTAGTAATGGGTAGAATCTTAATGTAAGTCAAACAGAAGCCAGGGATTTCTGGTTATTTGGAGGAAAGGGGAGAAAAAAGAAAGGCTCTAATTCCGAACCACCTCCCTTCAAATGTGCTAAATTACCTGCACTACTCTAAAAGTCAAATATGACTGACACATAGGAAGTAGCTTTGGCATTCCGGGAACTACCATAGTTAAAGGAGGTGTTGGCTACCAGAGTAGGCTGGAGAGAAAGAGAAAGCTAAATTATACAACTTTATTCCCAGTGATCTAACAAATAAGGAACTGTTATCACAACGAGTCAACAAAGGAGTCTTTATACAAAGCATAACTTGGGTCAACACCAGTTCTTTTACTTCTGTCCACCATTGCAAATCCTATCCCCTATAGGAGGCTCCAGGTTTCCCTAATCCCATACTAGCTGAATCAATTTTATTGTTATTACATTGTTGAAATTGCTTAATCATAAATTTAAGGCCATAGATACATCAATGGTTTAGTTCTCAGGGTAGCATAGCCTTAACATTGTCTCTTGATTGAAATTTCTGACCAGTGAAAGTTGCAAATGAGACTTTATTATTCTCTCTCTTTCACACCGGACATAAAGGGAACCTTGTAAACAAATTTTAGCCTGATAACTATCCTCCTTTTATTCAGGGTGGTATGACCTGCACAAATGAAGCTAGACAAATTTCCATGCAACCAGGTCACTAGAGAGTTTTCAAAGGAGGTAGGAAATTGCTGTCCCCCTCCCTCAGAATTTTAAAAGGACTCATTGCTCTCTGGGTTGGACTCACCTTGGAATTACTTTCCACATTGTAGAGTGGTCAGAGCTAGCTAACATTTTTTTTTTTAATTTTCTTCCCCTTAGGCATGATTAGAGGTATCACCCACGAAAAATCAAATTGTATAGTGACTGATCCACTAGATGAGTTCTTAAAGTTATGTCTGTACATTATAGTCTCTGAATACTTAAGACTTGTTTTCCCATTGTATTTTGGGCTAGTCTGAGAACCACATTTCCTAATGGATCTTCAAAGATTAGCACTCACAACACTTGGATTTAAATTTTCAGTCCTTTCCTTCTCCTCTAGGCAGTCGACTAAGTAGAGGCAGGTAAGTAAACATTTAAACACACTTGGGGAACATGTTCCCTATGCTCTCCCTTTGTCTTCATGTTTGAAATGGGCACTTATACACGCAAATGTATGGCTGAGACTGTAGCTTAGGATGTAGCAGCCACTTAAGTGGCATGTTCTTCCAATAAATATAATCAACTTTGATGAGGGACAGAATTCTAAAAGTTGCATAATAGTTTAATAACAAAAGGATTATTGTAATCTACAATTAAACAAAATGCTGCTGTGTTTTTGAAGATGCTGATAGGTGAAAAGTTAAACTCTCTCATATGTCAGTGTATCGTGATTTTCAGAGGGTTTTGAACTCTCAATATATTCTATCAAAATTATTCTTTTACTCCTTTGCTAAGGCACATAACTCATTTTTTTCTCTTTAAAAGGTAGTCAAACAAATACTCTTGGACATACAGGCAGGTCATGCTATGCACAAAGGGGAAGGATCTTACACCTCTTTTGAACCTGTGGAATTATT